AGCAGTTTTAGTGCAGGTTCATCTACCTGCTGGCAGACGCAATAGATCTGAATTCCAGGGCATATTCAAAGGCACCACGATTTCCCTGGGTAAAGGGATGCAGTTGTTCTCTGATTTCCTTTAGCCTCTGGAGCATGATCTAACAATTGGTGAAACAGCTCAAACAAACGGTCATAGGAGGAAACGTGCTCTACTCCCTGGTTCCACATTGCAGTTGCCCAGATCAGTGCTTTGTCTATGAGCACGTTTATGAACTGTACCACCTTAAATTGTTCTAAAACGCTGACTTGTTTATAGAAATATAGAGAACACTGTAGAAGAATGCCTGTACACTGAGCAGGTTCACATAAATATTTGTCTGGCCGAGCGATGAGCGGGAGAGTCAAGTGGTTGGTTGCTGCCATAATCGGTAACGCTATGACCGTTTGTTCGAGCTGTTTCACCAACCATTTGATCGTGCTCCAGAGGCTGAAGGATATCAGAGAAAAACTGCAACCTGTCACCCAGGGAAATGGTGGAGCCACCGAATATGCCCTAGAATTCAGATCCGTTGCGTCTGCCAGCGGGTCGATGAACCTGCACTCAAAACTGCTTAACATCAAGGACTGAACACGGCCATACTCATTCATCTCTACCACCGGCAGAGGAATTATCAGCCCCCAAGTTTCACGTGGAAAACACTAACTGGCATAGGCCAGTGGAACAGTATGCCAATTGGTCAAGTCAACTACACCGTTCTCGAACAAGAAAGGAGGAGTAGGGCTGAATTTTGTTTCTATTGTGGCAGCAAGAAATACTGAGTCTCTCAGTGCCTAGTGCATCCTGCCCAAGAACAGCCAGTACTCACAAAGAAGCGGGCTACACTCCGGCCACACCCACCTTAGATGAATCCCTAGAAAAATTGGTCTCCTCAAACTTTCTCGCTTCCTTTTCAGCTAGTCTTTTCAGTTCGAGCTGCTAAGCTCAGTGTCACAAATCATGTCTCTAAACCCCTGCTGTGTTAACCACCTCTACTTACATCAAAACTGCAAAGTCAACCCATCCTTGCCCTCTTGACCTTGAGATCTGCTTCACGCTTTTGATTTGTTTGTTTGTTGCCAGTTTTATTTAAATAAAAGCCTTCTTACTTCAAAAGTGCAGAGTCAACTCATCCCCGGACATTTGACCTGGTTCTCCGCTTCACGCTTTTGATTTGATTGTTTGTTATATAGCAGTCTCTGCAAATGCTGACTTCTCTGCTGCTTGACAGTATAACTTGCCATCAGCATGGAGGCAGTAGGAATGTGTGAGTGGCAACATGAGATAGACAGATAGATAGCCTTTGTTTACACTGCAATTGTAGAAAAGCATTGGAGCTAGCAGAGGAGGGTTTCGATCCATCGACCACTGACTTATGGGCCCAGCACGCTTCCGCTGCGCCACTCTGCTTTCAACACAACCCAGATGGGACTTGAACCCACAATCCCTGGCTTAGGAGGCCAATGCCTCATCCATTAGGCCACTGGGACATTGTGGGGTTACACGCGGGTCTCTCACGATAGCGGCTCAAGAAAAACTAGTGCGGTCACAACAACAGCAGATTGCTATGCTCGGCATGAAAATCACACACTTCTCCACCACACCAATAAGACCTATACCGATTATCGCAGCAACCAACCACTTGACTCTCCCGCCCATCGCTCGGCCGGACAAATATTTAGGTGAACCTGCTCAGTGTACAGGAATTCTTCTACAGTGAACTCTATATTTCTATAAACAAGTCAAAGTTGCAGAACAATTTAAGGTGGCACTGTTCAGAAACCTGCTCATAGACAAAGCACTGATCTGGGAAACTGCAACTTAGAACCAGGGAGGAGAGAACCTTTCCTCCTATGACCGTTTGTTCGAGCTGTTTCACCGACCATTTGATCGTGCTCCAGAGGCTGAAGGATATCAGAGAAAAACTGCAACCTGTCACCCAGGGAAATGGTGGAGCCACCGAATATGCCCTGAAATTCAGATCCGTTGCGTCTGCCAGCGGGTCGATGAACCTGCACTCAAAACTGCTTAGCATCAAGGACTGAACACGGCCATACTCATTCATCTCTACCACCTGCAGAGGAATTATCAGCCCCCAAGTTTCACGTAGAAAACACTAACTGGCATAGGCCAGTGGAACAGAATGCCAATTGGTCAAGTCAACTACACCGTTCTTGAACAAGAAAGGAGGAGTAGGGCTGAATTTTGTTTTTATTGTGGCAGCAAGCAATTCTGAGTCTCTCAGTGCCTGGTGCAACCTGCCCAAGGACAGCCAGTACTCACAAAGAAGCGGGCTACACCGGCCACACCCACCTTAGATGGGCGCGCCCAAATGGATTTTTTCTCACTTTTTTTTTTTTCTTTTCAGATAGTCTTTTCAGTTCGAGCTGCTAAGCTCAGTGTCACAAATCATGTCTCTAAACCCCTGCTGTGTTAACCACCTCTACTTACATCAAAACTGCAGAGTCAACCAATCCTTGCCCTCTTGACCTTGAGATCTGCTTCACGCTTTTGATTTGTTTGTTTGTTGCCAGTTTTATTTAAATAAAAGCCTTCTTACTTCAAAAGTGCAGAGTCAACTCATCCCCGGACATTTGACCTGGTTCTCCGCTTCACGCTTTTGATTTGATTGTTTGTTATATAGCATTCTCTGCAAATGTTGACTTCTCTGCTGCTTGACAGTATAACTTTCCTTTTCAGCTAGTCTTTTCAGTTCGAGCTGCTAAGCTCAGTGTCACAAATCATGTCTCTAAACCCCTGCTGTGTTAACCACCTCTACTTACATCAAAACTGCAGAGTCAACCAATCCTTGCCCTCTTGACCTTGAGATCTGCTTCACGCTTTTGATTTGTTTGTTTGTTGCCAGTTTTATTTAAATAAAAGCATTCTTACTTCAAAAGTGCAGAGTCAACTCATCCACGGACATTTGACCTGGTTCTCCGCTTCACGCTTTTGATTTGATTGTTTGTTATATAGCATTCTCTGCAAATGTTGACTTCTCTGCTGCTTGACAGTATAACTTTCCTTTTCAGCTAGTCTTTTCAGTTCGAACTACTAAGCTCAGTGTCACAAATCATGTCTCTAAACCCCTGCTGTGTTAACCACCTCTACTTACATCAAAACTGCAGAGTCAACCAATCCTTGCCCTCTTGACCTTGAGATCTGCTTCACGCTTTTGATTTGTTTGTTTGTTGCCAGTTTTATTTAAATAAAAGCCTTCTTACTTCAAAAGTGCAGAGTCAACTCATCCCCGGACATTTGACCTGGTTCTCCGCTTCACGCTTTTGATTTGATTGTTTGTTATATAGCATTCTCTGCAAATGTTGACTTCTCTGCTGCTTGACAGTATAACTTGCCATCAGCATGGAGGCAGTAGGAATGTGTGAGTGGCAACATGAGATAGACAGATAGATAGCCTTTGTTTACACTGCAATTGTAGAAAAGCATTGGAGCTAGCAGAGGATGGTTTCGATCCATCGACCTCTGGGTTATGGGCCCAGCACGCTTCCGCTGCGCCACTCTGCTTTCAACACAACCCAGATGGGACTTGAACCCACAATCCCTGGCTTAGGAGGCCAATGCCTCATCCATTAGGCCACTGGGACATTGTGGGGTTACACGCGGGTCTCTCACGATAGCGGCTCAAGAAAAACTAGTGCGGTCACAACAACAGCAGATTGCTATGCTCGGCATGAAAATCACACACTTCTCCACCACACCAATAAGACCTATACCGATTATCGCAGCAACCAACCACTTGACTCTCCCGCCCATCGCTCGGCCGGACAAATATTTAGGTGAACCTGCTCAGTGTACAGGAATTCTTCTACAGTGAACTCTATATTTCTATAAACAAGTCAAAGTTGCAGAACAATTTAAGGTGGCACTGTTCAGAAACCTGCTCATAGACAAAGCACTGATCTGGGAAACTGCAACTTAGAACCAGGGAGGAGAGAACCTTTCCTCCTATGACCGTTTGTTCGAGCTGTTTCACCGACCATTTGATCGTGCTCCAGAGGCTGAAGGATATCAGAGAAAAACTGCAACCTGTCACCCAGGGAAATGGTGGAGCCCCGAATATGCCCTGAAATTCAGATCCGTGTGCCTGCCAGCGGGTCGATGAACCTGCACTCAAAACTGCTTAGCATCAAGGACTGAACACGGCCATACTCATTCATCTCTACCACCTGCAGAGGAATTATCAGCCCCCAAGTTTCACGTAGAAAACACTAACTGGCATAGGCCAGTGGAACAGAATGCCAATTGGTCAAGTCAACTACACCGTTCTTGAACAAGAAAGGAGGAGTAGGGCTGAATTTTGTTTTTATTGTGGCAGCAAGCAATTCTGAGTCTCTCAGTGCCTGGTGCAACCTGCCCAAGGACAGCCAGTACTCACAAAGAAGCGGGCTACACTCCGGCCACACCCACCTTAGATGAGTCCCTACAAAAATGGGTCTCCTCAAACTTTCTCTCTTCCTTTTCAGCTAGTCTTTTCAGTTCGAGCTGCTAAGCTCAGTGTCACAAATCATGTCTCTAAACCCCTGCTGTGTTAACCACCTCTACTTACATCAAAACTGCAGAGTCAACCAATCCTTGCCCTCTTGACCTTGAGATCTGCTTCACGCTTTTGATTTGTTTGTTTGTTGCCAGTTTTATTTAAATAAAAGCCTTCTTACTTAAAGTGCAGAGTCAACTCATCCCCGGACATTTGACCTGGTTCTCCGCTTCACGCTTTTGATTTGATTGTTTGTTATATAGCATTCTCTGCAAATGTTGACTTCTCTGCTGCTTGACAGTATAACTTGCCATCAGCATGGAGGCAGTAGGAATGTGTGAGTGGCAACATGAGATAGACAGATAGATAGCCTTTGTTTACACTGCAATTGTAGAAAAGCATTGGAGCTAGCAGAGGATGGTTTCGATCCATCGACCTCTGGGTTATGGGCCCAGCACGCTTCCGCTGCGCCACTCTGCTTCCAACACACCCCAGATGGGACACGAACCCGTAATCCCTGGCTTAGGAGGCCAATGCCTTATCCATTAGGCCACTGGGACATTGTGGGGTTACACGCGGGTCCCTCACGATAGCGGCTCAAGAAAAACTAGTGTGGTCACAACAACAGCAGATTGCTATGCTCGGCATGAAAATCACACACTTCTCCACCACACCAATAAGACCTATACCGATTATCGCAGCAACCAACCACTTGACTCTCCCGCCCATCGCTCGGCCGGACAAATATTTAGGTGAACCTGCTCAGTCTACAGGAATTCTTCTACAGAATTCTTCTATATTTCTATAAACAAGTCAAAGTTGCAGAACAATTTAAGGTGGCACTGTTCAGAAACCTGCTCATAGACAAAGCACTGATCTGGGTTACTGCAACTTAGAAGCAGGGAGGAGAGAACCTTTCCTCCTATGACCGTTTGTTCGAGCTGTTTCACCGACCATTTGATCGTGCTCCAGAGGCTGAAGGATATCAGAGAAAAACTGCAACCTGTCACCCAGGGAAATGGTGGAGCCACCGAATATGCCCTGAAATTCAGATCCGTTGCGTCTGCCAGCGGGTCGATGAACCTGCACTGAAAACTGCTTAGCATCAAGGACTGAACACGGCCATACTCATTCATCTCTACCACCTGCAGAGGAATTATCAGCCCCCAAGTTTCACGTAGAAAACACTAACTGGCATAGGCCAGTGGAACAGTATGCCAATTGGTCAAGTCAACTACACCGTTCTTGAACAAGAAAGGAGGAGTAGGGCTGAATTTTGTTTTTATTGTGGCAGCAAGCAATTCTGAGTCTCTCAGTGCCTAGTGCATCCTGCCCAAGGACAGCCAGTACCGCATGCAAAGCGGGCTACACTCCGGCCACACCACACCTTAGATGAGTCCCTACAAAAATGGGTCTCCTCAAACTTTCTCGCTTCCTTTTCAGCTAGTCTTTTCAGTCCGAGCTGCTAAGCTCAGTGTCACAAATCATGTCTCTAAACCCCTGCTGTGTTAACCACCTCTACTTACATCAAAACTGCAGAGTCAACCAATCCTTGCCATCTTGACCTTGAGATCTGCTTCACGCTTTTGATTTGTTTGTTTGTTGCCAGTTTTATTTAAATAAGAGCCTTCTTACTTCAAAAGTGCAGAGTCAACTCATCCCCGGACATTTGACCTGGTTCTCCGCTTCACGCTTTTGATTTGATTGTTTGTTATATAGCATTCTCTGCAAATGTTGACTTCTCTGCTGCTTGACAGTATAACTTGCCATCAGCATGGAGGCAGTAGGAATGTGTGAGTGGCAACATGAGATAGACAGATAGATAGCCTTTGTTTACACTGCAATTGTAGAAAAGCAATGGAGCTAGCAGAGGATGGTTTCGATCCGTCGACCTCTGGGTTATGGGCCCAGCACGCTTCCGCTGCGCCACTCTGCTATCGACACACCCCAGATGGGACTCAAACCCACAATCCCTGGCTTAGAAGGCCAATGCCTTATCCATTAGGCCACTGGGACAGTGGGGGCTACCGGGTTCTCAACGATAGCGGCTCAAGAAAATCTAGTGCGGTCACAACAACAGCAGATTGCTATACTCGGCATGAAAATCACACACTTCTCCACCACACCAACAAGACCTATACCGATTATCGCAGCAACCAACCACTTGACTCTCCCGCCCATCGCTCGGCCGGACAAATATTTAGGTGAACCAGCTCTGTGTACAGGAATTCTTCTACAGTGATCTCTATATTTCTATAAACAAGTGAAAGTTGCAGAACAATTTAAGGTGGCACTGTTCAGAAACCTGCACATAGACAAAGCACTGATCTGGGAAACTGCAACTGGGAACCAGTGAGGAGAGCACCTTTCCACCTTTCCTGCAGAGGAATTATCATCCCCCAAGTTTCACGTAGAAAACACTAACTGGCATAGGCCAGTGGAACAGTATGCCAATTGGTCAAGTCAACTACACCGTTCTTGAACAAGAAAGGAGGAGTAGGGCTGAATTTTGTTTTTATTGTGGCAGCAAGCAATTCTGAGTCTCTCAGTGCCTAGTGCATCCTGCCCAAGGACAGCCAGTACTCGCAAAGAAGCGGGCTACACTCCGGCCACACCCACCTTAGATGAGTCCCTACAAAAATGGGTCTCCTCAAACTTTCTCGCTTCCTTTTCAGCTAGTCTTTTCAGTTCGAGCTGCTAAGCTCAGTGTCACAAATCATGTCTCTAAACCCCTGCTGTGTTAACCACCTCTACTTACATCAAAACTGCAGAGTCAACCAATCCTTGCCCTCTTGACCTTGAGATCTGCTTCACGCTTTTGATTTGTTTGTTTGTTGCCAGTTTTATTTAAATAAGAGCCTTCTTACTTCAAAAGTGCAGAGTCAACTCATCCCCGGACATTTGACCTGGTTCTCCGCTTCACGCTTTTGATTTGATTGTTTGTTATACAGCATTCTCTGCAAATGTTGACTTCTCTGCTGCTTGACAGTATAACTTGCCATCAGCATGGAGGCAGTAGGAATGTGTGAGTGGCAACATGAGATAGACAGATAGATAGCCTTTGTTTACACTGCAATTGTAGAAAAGCATTGGAGCTAGCAGAGGATGGTTTCGATCCGTCGACCTCTGGGTAATGGGCCCAGCACGCTTCCGCTGCGCCACTCTGCTTTCGACACACCCCGGATGGGACTCAAACCCACAATCCCTGGCTTAGGAGGCCAATGCCTTATCCATTAGGCCATTGGGACAGTGTGGGGCTACACGCGGGTCTCCCACGATAGCGGCTCAAGAAAATCTAGTGCGGTCACAACAACAGCAGATTGCTATACTCGGCATGAAAATCACACACTTCTCCACCACACCAATAAGACCTATACCGATTATCGCAGCAACCAACCACTTGACTCTCCCGCCCATCGCTCGGCCGGACAAATATTTAGGTGAACCTGCTCAGTGTACAGGAATTCTTCTACAGTGAACTCTATATTTCTATAAACAAGTCAAAGTTGCAGAACAATTTAAGGTGGCACTGTTCAGAAACCTGCTCATAGACAAAGCACTGATCTGGGAAACTGCAACTTAGAACCAGGGAGGAGAGAACCTTTCCTCCTATGACCGTTTGTTCGAGCTGTTTCACCGACCATTTGATCGTGCTCCAGAGGCTGAAGGATATCAGAGAAAAACTGCAACCTGTCACCCAGGGAAATGGTGGAGCCACCGAATATGCCCTGAAATTCAGATCCGTTGCGTCTGCCAGCGGGTCGATGAACCTGCACTGAAAACTGCTTAGCATCAAGGACTGAACACGGCCATACTCATTCATCTCTACCACCTGCAGAGGAATTATCATCCCCCAAGTTTCACGTAGAAAACACTAACTGGCATAGGCCAGTGGAACAGTATGCCAATTGGTCATGTCAACTACACCGTTCTTGAACAAGAAAGGAGGAGTAGGGCTGAATTTTGTTTTTATTGTGGCAGCAAGCAATTCTGAGTCTCTCAGTGCCTAGTGCATCCTGCCCAAGGACAGCCAGTACTCGCAAAGAAGCGGGCTACACTCCGGCCACACCCACCTTAGATGAGTCCCTACAAAAATGGGTCTCCTCAAACTTTCTCGCTTCCTTTTCAGCTAGTCTTTTCAGTTCGAGCTGCTAAGCTCAGTGTCACAAATCATGTCTCTAAACCCCTGCTGTGTTAACCACCTCTACTTACATCAAAACTGCAGAGTCAACCAATCCTTGCCCTCTTGACCTTGAGATCTGCTTCACGCTTTTGATTTGTTTGTTTGTTGCCAGTTTTATTTAAATAAAAGCCTTCTTACTTCAAAAGTGCAGAGTCAACTCATCCCCGGACATTTGACCTGGTTCTCCGCTTCACGCTTTTGATTTGATTGTTTGTTATATAGCATTCTCTGCAAATATTGACTTCTCCGCTGCTTGACAGTATACTTTGCCATCAGCATGGAGGCAGTAGGAATGTTTGAGTGGCAACATGAGATAGACAGATAGCTAGCCTTTGTTTACACTGCAATTGTAAAAAGCATTGGAGCTAGCAGAGGATGGTTTCGATCCATCGACCTCTGGGTTATGGGGCCCGGGCTGCGCTTCGCCCACTCTGCTGCGACACCCCCCGGATGGGACTCAACCCCACAATCCCTCGCTTAGGAGGCCAATGCCTTATCCATTAGGCCACTGGGACAGTGTGGGGCTACGCGGTCTCTCACGATAGCGGCTCAAGAAAATCTAGTGTGGTCACAACAACAGCAGATTGCTATACACGGCATGAAAATCACCCACTTCTCCACCACACCAACAAGACCTATACCGATTATCGCAGCAACCAACCACTTGACTCTCCCGCCCATCGCTCGGCCGGACAAATATTTAGGTGAACCAGCTCTGTGTACAGGAATTCTTCTACAGTGATCTCTATATTTCTATAAACAAGCGAAAGTTGCAGAACAATTTAAGGTGGCACTGTTCAGAAACCTGCACATAGACAAAGCACTGATCTGGGAAACTGCAACTTAGAACCAGGGAGGAGAGAACCTTTCCTCCTATGACCGTTTGTTCGAGCTGTTTCACCGACCATTTGATCGTGCTCCAGAGGCTGAAGGATATCAGAGAAAAACTGCAACCTGTCACCCAGGGAAATGGTGGAGCCACCGAATATGCCCTGAAATTCAGATCCGTTGCGTCTGCCAGCGGGTCGATGAACCTGCACTGAAAACTGCTTAGCATCAAGGACTGAACACAGCCATACTCATTCATCTCTACCACCTGCAGAGGAATTATCAGCCCCCAAGTTTCACGTAGAAAACACTAACTGGCATAGGCCAGTGGAACAGTATGCCAATTGGTCATGTCAACTACACCGTTCTTGAACAAGAAAGGAGGAGTAGGGCTGAATTTTGTTTTTATTGTGGCAGCAAGCAATTCTGAGTCTCTCAGTGCCTAGTGCATCCTGCCCAAGGACAGCCAGTACTACGCAAAAGACGGGCTACACCGGCCACACCCACCTTAGATGAGTCCCTACAAAAATGGGTCTCCTCAAACTTTCTCGCTTCCTTTTCAGCTAGTCTTTTCAGTTCGAGCTGCTAAGCTCAGTGTCACAAATCATGTCTCTAAACCCTGCTGTGTTAACCACCTCTACTTACATCAAAACTGCAGAGTCAACCAATCCTTGCCCTCTTGACCTTGAGATCTGCTTCACGCTTTTGATTTGTTTGTTTGTTGCCAGTTTTATTTAAATAAAAGCCTTCTTAATTCAAAAGTGCAGAGTCAACTCATCCCCGGACATTTGACCTGGTTCTCCGCTTCACGCTTTTGATTTGATTGTTTGTTATATAGCAGTCTCTGCAAATGTTGACTTCTCTGCTGCTTGACAGTATAACTTGCCATCAGCATGGAGGCAGTAGGAATGTGTGAGTGGCAACATGAGATAGACAGATAGATAGCCTTTGTTTACACTGCAATTGTAGAAAAGCATTCGAGCTAGCAGAGGATGGTTTCGATCCATCGACCTCTGGGTTATGGGCCCAGCACGCTTCCGCTGCGCCACTCTGCTTTCAACACAACCCAGATGGGACTTGAACCCACAATCCCTGGCTTAGGCCAAGCCACTGCCTCATCCATTAGGCCACTGGGACATTGTGGGGTTACACGGGGTCTCTCACGATAGCGGCTCAAGAAAAACTAGTGCGGTCACAACAACAGCAGATTGCTATGCTCGGCATGAAAATCACACACTTCTCCACCACACCAATAAGACCTATACCGATTATCGCAGCAACCAACCACTTGACTCTCCCGCCCATCGCTCGGCCGGACAAATATTTAGGTGAACCTGCTCAGTGTACAGGAATTCTTCTACAGTGAACTCTATATTTCTATAAACAAGTCAAAGTTGCAGAACAATTTAAGGTGGCACTGTTCAGAAACCTGCTCATAGACAAAGCACTGATCTGGGAAACTGCAACTTAGAACCAGGGAGGAGAGAACCTTTCCTCCTATGACCGTTTGTTCGAGCTGTTTCACCGACCATTTGATCGTGCTCCAGAGGCTGAAGGATATCAGAGAAAAACTGCAACCTGTCACCCAGGGAAATGGTGGAGCCACCGAATATGCCCTGAAATTCAGATCCGTTGCGTCTGCCAGCGGGTCGATGAACCTGCACTCAAAACTGCTTAGCATCAAGGACTGAACACGGCCATACTCATTCATCTCTACCACCTGCAGAGGAATTATCAGCCCCCAATTTCATGTAGAAAACACTAACTGGCATAGGCCAGTGGAACAGTATGCCAATTGGTCAAGTCAACTACACCGTTCTTGAACAAGAAAGGAGGAGTAGGGCTGAATTTTGTTTCCATTGTGGCAGCAAGCAATTCTGAGTTTCTCAGTGCCTAGTGCATCCTGCCCAAGGACAGCCAGTACTCACAAAGAAGCGGGCTACACTCCGGCCACACCCACCTTAGATGAGTCCCTACAAAAATGGGTCTCCTCAAACTTTCTCGCTTCCTTTTCAGCTAGTCTTTTCAGTTCGAGCTGCTAAGCTCAGTGTCACAAATCATGTCTCTAAACCCCTGCTGTGTTAACCACCTCTACTTACATCAAAACTGCAGAGTCAACCAATCCCTGCCCTCTTGACCTTGAGAGCTGCTTCACGCTTTTGATTTGTTTGTTTGTTGCCAGTTTTATTTAAATAAAAGCCTTCTTACTTCAAAAGTGCAGAGTCAACTCATCCCCGGACATTTGACCTGGTTCTCCGCTTCACGCTTTTGATTTGATTGTTTGTTATATAGCATTCTCTGCAAATGTAGACTTCTCTGCTGCTTGACAGTATAACTTGCCATCAGCATGGAGGCAGTAGGAATGTGTGAGTGGCAACATGAGATAGACAGATAGCTAGCCTTTGTTTACACTGCAATTGTAGAAAAGCATTCGAGCTAGCAGAGGATGGTTTCGATCCATCGACCTCTGGGTTATGGGCCCAGCGCTCCCGCTGCGCCACTCTGCTTTCAACACAACCCAGATGGGACTTGAACCCACAATCCCTGGCTTAGGAGGCCAATGCCTCATCCCGTTAGCCACTGGGACATTGTGGGGTTACACGCCGGGTCTCTCACGATAGCGGCTCAAGAAAAACTAGTGCGGTCACAACAACAGCAGATTGCTATGCGCCGACGAAAATCACACACTTCTCCACCACACCAATAAGACCTATACCGATTATCGCAGCAACCAACCACTTGACTCTCCCGCCCATCGCTCGGCCGGGACAAATATTTAGGTGAACCTGCTCAGTGTACAACGAATTCTTCTACAGTGAACTCTATATTTCTATAAACAAGTCAAAGTTGCAGAACAATTTAAGGTGGCACTGTTCAGAAACCTGCTCATAGACAAAGCACTGATCTGGGAAACTGCAACTTAGAACCAGGGAGGAGAGAACCTTTCCTCCTATGACCGTTTGTTCGAGCTGTTTCACCGACCATTTGATCGTGCTCCAGAGGCTGAAGGATATCAGAGAAAAACTGCAACCTGTCACCCAGGGAAATGGTGGAGCCACCGAATATGCCCTGAAATTCAGATCCGTTGCGTCTGCCAGCGGGTCGATGAACCTGCACTGAAAACTGCTTAGCATCAAGGACTGAACACGGCCATACTCATTCATCTCTACCATCTGCAGAGGAATTATCAGCCCCCAAGTTTCATGTAGAAAACACTAACTGGCATAGGCCAGTGGAACAGTATGCCAATTGGTCAAGTCAACTACACCGTTCTTGAACAAGAAAGGAGGAGTAGGGCTGAATTTTGTTTCCATTGTGGCAGCAAGCAATTCTGAGTTTCTCAGTGCCTAGTGCATCCTGCCCAAGGACAGCCAGTACTCACAAAGAAGCGGGCTACACTCCGGCCACACCCACCTTAGATGAGTCCCTACAAAAATGGGTCTCCTCAAACTTTCTCGCTTCCTTTTCAGCTAGTCTTTTCAGTTCGAGCTGCTAAGCTCAGTGTCACAAATCATGTCTCTAAACCCCTGCTGTGTTAACCACCTCTACTTACATCAAAACTGCAGAGTCAACCAATCCCTGCCCTCTTGACCTTGAGATCTGCTTCACGCTTTTGATTTGTTTGTTTGTTGCCAGTTTTATTTAAATAAAAGCCTTCTTAATTCAAAAGTGCAGAGTCAACTCATCCCCGGACATTTGACCTGGTTCTCCGCTTCACGCTTTTGATTTGATTGTTTGTTATATAGCATTCTCTGCAAATGTAGACTTCTCTGCTGCTTGACAGTATAACTTGCCATCAGCATGGAGGCAGTAGGAATGTGTGAGTGGCAACATGAGATAGACAGATAGCTAGCCTTTGTTTACACTGCAATTGTAGAAAAGCATTTGAGCTAGCAGAGGATGGTTTCGATCCATCGACCTCTGGGTTATGGGCCCAACACGCTTCCGCTGCGCCACTCTGCTCTCAACACACCCCAAATGGGACTCGAACCCACAATCCCTGGCTTAGGAGGCCAATGCCTTATCCGTTAGGCCACTGGGACATTGTGGGGTTACACGCGGGTCTCTCACGATAGCGGCTCAAGAAAAACTAGTGCGGTCACAACAACAGCAGATTGCTATGCTCGGCATGAAAATCACACACTTCTCCACCACACCAACAAGACCTATACCGATTATCGCAGCAACCAACCACTTGACTCTCCCGCCCATCGCTCGGCCGGACAAATATTTAGGTGAACCTGCTCAGTGTACAGGAATTCTTCTACAGTGATCTCTATATTTCTATAAACAAGTCAAAGTTGCAGAACAATTTAAGGTGGCACTGTTCAGAAACCTGCACATAGACAAAGCACTGATCTGGGAAACTGCAACTTGGAACCAGGCAGGAGAGCACCTTTCCTCCTATGTCCGTTTGTTCGAGCTGTTTCACCAACCATTTGATCGTGCTCCAGAGGCTGAAGGATATCAGAGAAAAACTGCAACCTGTCACCCAGGGAAATGGTGGAGCCACCGAATATGCTCTGAAATTCAGATCCGTTGCGTCTGCCAGCGGGTCGATGAACCTGCACTCAAAACTGCTTAGCATCAAGGACTGAACACGGCCATACTCATTCATCTCTACCACCTGCAGAGGAATTATCATCCCCCAAGTTTCACGTAGAAAACACTAACTGGCATAAACCAGTGGAACAGTATGCCAATTGGTCAAGTCAACTACACCGTTCTTGAACAAGAAAGGAGGAGTAGGGCTGAATTTTGTTTTTATTGTGGCAGCAAGCAATTCTGAGTCTCTCAGTGCCTAGTGCATCCTGCCCAAGGACAGCCGAGTACTACAGAAAGCGGGCTACACTCCGGCCACCCCACCTTAGATGAGTCCCTACAAAAACGGGTCTCCTCAAACTTTCCGCTTCCTTTTCAGCTAGTCTTTTTCAGTCCGAGCTGCTAAGCTCAGTGTCACAAATCATGTCTCTAAACCCCTGCTGTGTTAACCACCTCTACTTACATCAAAACTGCAGAGTCAACCAATCCTTGCCATCTTGACCTTGAGATCTGCTTCACGCTTTTGATTTGTTTGTTTGTTGCCAGTTTTATTTAAATAAGAGCCTTCTTACTTCAAAAGTGCAGAGTCAACTCATCCCCGGACATTTGACCTGGTTCTCCGCTTCACGCTTTTGATTTGATTGTTTGTTATATAGCATTCTCTGCAAATGTTGACTTCTCTGCTGCTTGACAGTATAACTTGCCATCAGCATGGAGGCAGTAGGAATGTGTGAGTGGCAACATGAGATAGACAGATAGATAGCCTTTGTTTACACTGCAATTGTAGAAAAGCAATGGAGCTAGCAGAGGATGGTTTCGATCCGTCGACCTCTGGGTTATGGGCCCAGCACGCTTCCGCTGCGCCACTCTACTATCGACACACCCCAGATGGGACTCAAACCCACAATCCCTGGCTTAGGAGGCCAATGCCTTATCCATTAGGCCACTGGGACAGTGTGGGGCTACACGCGGGTCTCTCACGATAGCGGCTCAAGAAAATCTAGTGCGGTCACAACAACAGCAGATTGCTATACTCGGCATGAAAATCACACACTTCTCCACCACACCAACAAGACCTATACCGATTATCGCGCCAACCAACCACTTGACTCTCCGCCCCGCCGGCCGGACAAATATTTAGGTGAACCAGCTCTGTGTACAGGAATTCTTCTACAGTGATCTCTATATTTCTATAAACAAGTGAAAGTTGCAGAACAATTTAAGGTGGCACTGTTCAGAAACCTGCACATAGACAAAGCACTGATCTGGGAAACTGCAACTGGGAACCAGTGAGGAGAGCACCTTTCCACCTTTCCTGCAGAGGAATTATCATCCCCCAAGTTTCACGTAGAAAACACTAACTGGCATAGGCCAGTGGAACAGTATGCCAATTGGTCAAGTCAACTACACCGTTCTTGAACAAGAAAGGAGGAGTAGGGCTGAATTTTGTTTTTATTGTGGCAGCAAGCAATTCTGAGTCTCTCAGTGCCTAGTGCATCCTGCCCAAGGACAGCCAGTACTCGCAAAGAAGCGGGCTACACTCCGGCCACACCCACCTTAGATGAGTCCCTACAAAAATGGGTCTCCTCAAACTT